ATTAGGTATTCAGTGGTTGAGTCACCCTGATTTGCTGTCCTTTAAGATTGTAAGTTCCGAACAATCTCCAGTTACAAAAAGAACCTTACTCAGTACTATTGCCAAGATTTATGACCCTCTTGGATTGGTCAGTCCATGTATTATATTAGTTAAAATTTTAATCCAGAAATTATGGTCATTAAAGCTAGGATGGGATGATTCATTACCTACAGATTTAGCTGTTAAATGGAGATTATTTCAATCACAACTAGCCAGTCTTCAAAATTTAAAAATTCCAAGATTTGTTATGTGTAAAAATCCAATAAATATTGAGGTACACGGTTTTAGTGATGCCAGCATGGAAGCGTATAGTGCAGCTGTGTACGTACGTACGTTGGATTCTGTTGGAAATATATGTGTCCGATTATTATGTTCCAAAACTAAGGTTGCTCCAGTGAAGGTGCAAACCATTCCCCGATTAGAGCTGTGTGGAGCACTTGCTCTTGCTCGTTTAATGAAAAAGGTGTCTAGTTCCTTAACTTCTCAATTTAAAATCTTCTATTGGTGTGACTCTCAAATTGTTTTGAGTTGGGTTAATTCCGACGCTAACAAATTTCAAGTTTTTGTAAGCAACAGGGTAGCAGAAATTCAGAGGTTGTGTGACATTTCCCATTGGAGCTACGTCAATACGAAGGAGAATCCCGCGGATGTTGCGTCAAGAGGTATGGAACCTGAGGCTTTGCTTTTGAATAGTATGTGGTGGAATGGTCCTTCATTTTTACTAGAAAGGTCCGATTGGCCTCGACAATTTAGAACAAATGAAATTAATGAAAACTTACCAGAAATCCGTGCTTCTTCTAGCAAAACATTTCTTACAGTTGAGTCACCTTTGATAGAATTTGAACGTTTTTCGAATTTGAACAGAATCATAGCAGCATTAGCTTATTGTTTTCGGTTTTTTGATATGATCAAAACAAGAAAAAAGACTACTGGTAGTCTGACTGATTTAGAACGACAAAATAGTATGCTTCAATTGATAAAAATTTCACAAAAGGAAAGTTTTAATAATGAAATTTTGATAATTAAAAATGGTAAAGATTTAAAGTCAAAACATCGATTGTTATCCTTGAGCCCCTTCTTGGATTCTGATGGTTTACTTCGTGTTGGGGGGAGGCTAAAGCATTCGTCTTTACCATTTAGTGGAAAACATCCTTTATTAATAGATGGCAAACATAGATTAGCTTTATTGATATTTCGAGATGAGCATAAGAGGTTACTGCATGCTGGTCCTCAACTTTTGATGTCCTCAGTGCGTGAAAAGTATTGGATCACATCTGGAATGAATGTTGCAAAAAAGACTGTAAGAATGTGTGTGAAATGTTTTAGAGTGAAACCAAAACCAACAAATTATTTGATGGGTGATCTTCCGAAGCATAGAGTCCAGATTTCCAAACCATTTTCAATTACTGGAATTGATTACGCGGGGCCAATGATTTTACGTGATCGTAAAGGTCGTCCTTATAAGACTTATAAAGCTTACATTTGTTTATTCATTTGTTTTGTAACAAAGGCGCTGCACATAGAGTTGGTCACCGACTTGACGACTGAAGCATTTTTAGCATCCTTCAGGAGATTTGCTGCCCGACGTGGCACTCCTTCGCATTTATACTCAGATAATGGATCAAATTTTGTCGGTGCTCAGGGAGAACTGAATAGGTTATATCGGTTTTTGGAAGACTCTCAAGACGAGTTCGTTCGACGATGCGCATCAGAAAAGATTTCTTGGCATTTCATACCTGCTAATAGTCCAAATTTTGGAGGGTTGTGGGAGGCTAACATAAAATCAGTTAAAAAGCATTTGTATCGAGTTATTGGTCAGAGTGTTTTAACGTATGAAGAGTACTATACTTTATTAGTGCAGATTGAGGCGGTTTTAAATTCGAGACCCCTATACCCAATGTCCTCTGATCCCAATGATTTGTCCCCACTGACTCCAGCTCACCTATTAATTGGTCAATCATTTTCGACACCTCCAGACCCGCTCTATGAAAATGATGTGAAAATTAACAGATTAACTCGCTTCCAGTTGCTACAACAGCTGACTCAAAGTTTCTGGAAAAGATGGTCCTCCTTTTATTTGTCGCAGTTGCAGCAGAGGTCCAAATGGAAAACTACAAGTACTAATATTGAAATTGGACAAATGGTTGTCATAAAAAATGACAATCTTCCGCCATGTCAATGGCAGCTTGGCAGAATCCAAGATATCCACCCAGGAAGTGACGGTCACGTACGTGTTGTGACAGTCAAAACAACCCATGGAACTTATAAGCGAGCAATGTCAAAAATATGCCCGCTTCCAACTGATGATGATGGTTACAGTTTTGAACGTGCCGTTCAAAGGGGGGAGTATGTTTAAAAAGAAAGCGCTACGGATGGCCCCCCTGTCAGAGCGAACCATGTCGCTACCGACGACCCCTCTAAAACGAAAGAATGGGCCGGTCCAAGCAGCAACCAGGGGACGAACGACGCCGCGTTGGTAACGGCGAGGGAGAACTGAACAAGACCTTCTACAGAACAATACGTTATTTTTTGAATTGTAAAATTTTGCCTGCGAATAAAATAATAATTATGTAGTTGAATCTTAATTAAAAAAAAAAATACAGTCCACTCATATTGAAGAGGTGAAGCAACACCAGCCATCGATTTCGTTTTTTTCCGGATATCTCCGGTAGCACTCGAAATTTTTGAAACATCAAAGCGCCATTTTAATGAGCACAAAGTTGCGCAACTTTTTTTTAATTATGGTGACGTCGCATCTCGAACCGTTTCTGAGATCCCCATACTGGCCCTCCTTATCTTGGACAAATTGGTGCCATTAGTGTTTTCAACCAAGAAAATGAAGAATGAAAAATGAATATGTTATTGTATGTAACCTATAAATCTCATTATTAATTAAGCGTTAATTTATTTCAAAGTCTATATAGAAACACGTTGTATAATTTTATTAATTGGTTTGGAAGATGTAGGCTCTAATGCCAGTTTGTTTGTAAACTGTTTTTGAGTCAAAGCTATTTAAAAAAAAAATATTATTCTGCATACTGCTATTTTTTGTTGTAACAAAATGGTCTAATCCAGCTAAAATTGTTCTAGTAAAAGGCTGATTAGAGTCTATTCTGGCTACCAATAGTATATTAAGTATCAAGAACGGTAAGTAAGATTTACTGGTCAAAGACAATGTTTGGAGACTGAGCGAAGCGAAGTCTCCAATATTGTCTGAGACCAGTAAATCTTTACCGTTTGTGATGCTTATACTATTTTTTGTACGACTTGTGGAAGAGAAAGTATACTGCGTTTATAATAATGGTTATCTATACTTATTCGGATCATACCCTAAATATCAGTGAAAATTTTCAAGATTGCTTTGTTATAAAATTGCCATGGTTCATGGTTGTCATGTATGCGTTTATTTGTTCAAGTGTTTTTGACCAATTTTTTTTACAAACTGATACATTGTTATCAAAAGCGTCGTATTTCGCGTATATTTGTGAATTTTTGGCAAAAAAAATCAACTAACCAACAACTAATGAGTGACGAGAGTGAAAATTCGGACCTAGAAGAAGCTTGGCGAATAGGATGCTCAGCTATAATACCAGAAAAATCGAAGGAACGATATGAAAATACGTATGGACTTTTCCGGAAGTGGTTTGAGGAGAAAAGTGGAAAAAATATCGATGAAAAAATCCTGATGGCCTATTTCGTACAAAGAAATCAACAGCTAAAAGCGCCGGGCAGTTTATGGGCTGAATACTCGATGTTGAAAGCCACAATTTTTCTACATCATTCCATTGATATTTCTAAGTTTTTGACGTTAATTACATTCTTAAAAAGGAAAAATGTTGGACACAAACCAAAAAAGGCTAGCGTTTTCACAAAGGAAGAAATGTCCAGATTTTTATTAGAGGCACCAGATGATATTTTTTTAATTCAAAAGGTAAATTGGCAATAATAATTTCCATTTTATGTATTAATATTTCATATTTTATTTTCAGGTAGGAATGATATTAGGTGTGTCAGGTGCCTGCAGGAGGGAGGAACTATATAATATAACTCTAAATGATATCGAGGATCGAGATTCCTTCATTATAGTGAAAATTCCCAACACCAAAACACACATTCAGCGGTCATTTACAATTACCAATGTGGAAAATGAAACCATTCATTATTTGGAGATTATTCGAAAATACATTAGGCTTAGACCAAGCGACGTAAAATCTGCACGAATGTTTTTAAATTTTCAGAAAGGAAAATGCACTAAGCAAGTGGTAGGGAAAGGCACAATTGGTAAATGGCCCATGATAATAGCAAAATATTTAAAATTAGGAAATCCAACCGATTATACTGGTCATTCATTCAGACGTACTTCAGCTACGCTTTTGGCCAATAAAGGGGTGGATATTTTAGGATTAAAAATACATGGTGGATGGAAATCTTCAGCCGTAGCTGAAAGCTACGTTGAGGACTCACTGCAAAACAAAATTGAGTTTGCAGGAAAAATTTTACATGGCAATACTGATTCTTCTTCAGCAAATTCCACGTCTGTATCATGTGCAACATTTTCAGTTAATGCGAACGATCCTGACAAAGCCACATTCCCTATTACTATTAAAAATTGTGATAACTGTACGTTTAATTTTAATGTTAATAAATAAAATATTTGTGTATTCTTTTTTTTGTATAGTTTTTCATTTTTATTTCTGGATGATCTAGGATTAATTTCCGAACATGACTAATATTACTTACCGTTCTAGAACGGTAAGTAATTCACTTACCGTTCTGTCAGCCTTGCCAACCAGTAAATACAACATACCGACGTCAAAACACTGTCGGTAAATAATCAAAATAGTCAAGTCGTACAAAAATACCTTTTCGGAACCTTCTCAGACAACAGAAGTTCAAGCTTTACCACTTTGATACATGTTGAAGATTTACTCAGAAAATAATCACACTGCGCCTGTTCTTACCTTCTCCAAAGGTTGTCCCTCTCCATCTCCTGCCAAATAAACAGCAGGTATTGCAGGCATGGAAACAAACGGCGACCCAACATCCTCGCCTTCCTGCAACAATCTTCTCCTTTCCACTTCCTGGCTACTACTAACTGTGGCATGTCCACTGCTTTCAGTAAAATCACTACGGAGATAGTTCTCATTAAAACTCTCCCTTCTCCAATTAACGTGCGACGGTTCATCACTGAGGTACGATTCATTAAAACTCTCCCTCCTCCAATTATTATTCTGCCCAGTATCTGGTTGAAATGCAAGCCGTTCATCGGCGGACATTGGTGTAGTGGCAGCACTGGCTCCCAATTGCATTGTCAGCTGTTGTTCATTGAAAGATTCGCTTCTTTCGGTGAATTTTGGGTTGCGGGCTTGCAAGTAACCATCGCTGTCTTGTAAAGATTTGTGTTCTTGTGCCTCGCCCATCCTGCGTCTCTGCATAGCCACTTTACTTTGGAAATTCATTGTTCTTCGTTTGAGTTTGTCCAAAAGTAAATGATAAATGGCGTAAATGTGATCGAAAGAATTGACTTCTAGTGATCGGGCTATTGCTGCTCTGTCAAGACCTGGCAACTGGAGATTATGTAAATTAAAATAAATTTAATTATTATGGATAAAATCTATTTTTATGTTCCTTCAAGGATACTAAACGAATTTTGAAACTCACAACTCATAGGACTAGGAGTATATGAGGTGGTATGGTCATAATTATCCAATAACCAGAATTATGAATAGTGCAAACATAAGGCAAAAAAAGGTTTGCATTATCTTTCAAAAATATTAGTTATTTTAAGCACTTGAAGGTGTTTTGTTCATTGTAACAGGATAATAACTTAATAATCTAAATTTATTTGGTGTTTAGTTAATAATTTACGAGTTATAAGTATTTTAATCTTTCTTGTTTTTCCAATTATTGTTGATGAAAAATGTTTTCCATTACCTGAAGCATATGTTCAATAACAGTATTATTCAACCGCTGATCTTCTTCTACATCTAATTGCAAAGGTGGTTCTGCATCGCTCAACCATTTGTGTTTGAGAATTTGCGATATAGTCAGCCGTTTATCCGGATCTACTACTAGCATGTGCCTGACCAAATGCTCGCAGTCTGAAATTTTTCAGCACTTTAACTTTAAAATTAACCTAAAGTCATCAATGTTTACCTTGCGACATAAAAAAAGGGATCCTGAACTTGCCCTCTATTACAACATTTCTAAGGGCTTGCAATGTGTGGCCGTCAAATGGTAAGGAGCCGCATACTAAAATGTATACGACAACTCCTAGACTCTACAACAATAGAGAGACAGGAATGAAAATGGGCAAAAATCAAGTTGTCGCAAACTTACCCATATGTCAGCTTTGGTTCCATCATATTTTAAACCCCGAAATAATTCTGGGGCCGCATATGGAGGCGAACCACAAAATGTGCTCAGCAAATTGCCTTCTGTGAATTGATTGCTGAAGCCAAAATCAGCAAGCTGGAAAATTGAAGTTGGATGAATTATTCGATGACTAAAAAGTTTTATTCATTTTCAATCGTTTATTGAATTTGAAGTTTTAGAAGTGTGAATCTAACAGAAAATTAATGTTTTTAAAATGTTGTCGAACATATAGAAAAGATTCTTGAAGCTCCTGAAAAATAATAATTGTCAGAAGCATCCCCAACAATATCAAATTCTCAGTAGAAAGTAGGTTTAATGTCATCATAGCAAAATATTTATTTTCATATAGATCATTTTTATCATCTTTAAAGCGAGCGATTTATTACGATTAGATAAAAAACAACACAATACCAATGTTATTAGATAAATATTGTTTACCTTAATATTAAAATTGTGATCTAACAGCAAATTTTCAGCCTTTAAGTCTCTGTGCACCACCCCCTGTGAATGACAATAGCAAACGGCCGAAACAATTTGACTGAATACTCTTTTTGCTTCTGGTTCCGCCATGCGGCCTTTTGCTACTAAATGATCTGAAAAATAATTTGAGTGTTATTCATAATAATGTCCAATACTGAAAATCTAAATGGAGATAGGGTTATCAGAGGTAACAGCTTTGGAAAAATATAATTTAAATCCGATCTTACCAAATATCTCTCCATTACTCGCATATTCTGTAACCAAATAAATGGTTTGTTTTGTTTCCATCAACTGATACAGTCTAGTCACGTGGGGATGACGGAGTTTCTTTAAAATAGCAGTCTCTCGAAATATCTTAGTTAGGTTTTCTTCATCTAGGACAGTCTTATCTATTATTTTTATGGCCACCTGAAAAAAAAAAATGTAACATTTTAATTAATGCCCCTATTATTCACCTAAAATGTTCAATATAAAAACAACACAATAATATTTGTTACATACACCCAATACCCCTCACAAAAACGTGATTTATTTCAGAAAATAAACATTGTCCAATACAAATGGAGCAACGTGATCAATTTTCAATGAATATGTGCAACGTGTTGAGGTGACAGTTCTTTATTATTTTTTAACTTTCCTAATGCGTCTTTTTGGGTTTTATTTAAAAACAAGTAATAATAATAATAAAGAAGAACTTTATTTATACTGCATGGCCAACAGAGCAAAGCTTCCACAGCAGATACACATTTTAGTCACTAAAGTAGGTAGGTACAACATGATAATAGAGAAAACTCCAAACAAAAATATTCTAAAATTTGAAAGAAAAAAACATGCATATCAGAAAGCCAGTTCAACAACACAAAATATAAATGTAAATGTATAAATGTAAATACATATAAAAATAAATAATATAAATACAATAAACACAAATCAAAACACAACAAAATCTAACTAGGTATGATAAAGCTTTAACAATTGACCCTTTTTATTACAGGAAATATCAAAGTTCGAGTAATTTTGACAAAAGACATTAGCAGCTTGCTAACATCTATTCACAGGTAAACTTTGGTAAGATACATGGAAAACATTAAACCTTTCATGTCTCCTTCGTAGCCTAACAACAGGTAGGTACATTGAAAAAATAGTATATTACATACCGAGTAGGGAAGTGTTTCATTAAATACTGTCGAGAGATTTATATAGTCAATCGAGAAACGAAGCGTCGAGATTGACTATTAATCTCGAGTCAGAAATGAAAACTTCGTGAAAATGTCAAGCACTTACATTTACCAATATTAAGCTTTAATTTATTATCAGAGCAGAAAGCCGCGACTGCATGCAAATCAGTTTGCAGACGCACACAATCTGCCTGATTCCGAACAACATTATTAATTTTTAGGTCGTCTGCATAAAGTAGGAAGTGAGATGATGTGATTTACATTGAAATATCATTAACAGGCATCACAAAACGAAGAGGCCCTAGGATCGAACTTTGGAGAACACCAGAAGTAGGAGTAAAACAATCTGAAAGTTTATCATTAAATTTCTCAGCCTGATATCTGCCATTTAGGTATGACTTAAGATAATCAATCAAGTTCCGACTCAAAGATTAATTCTCAAAGGACAGAGTGGTTTACCCTGTCGAATGTCTTAGCCAGGCCAGTATTGTTCGTCGATTTTTAACTGACACTTTTCGTATGAGGAGCGAGGAGGTGTTTTATATGGCAAAAACAGGTGTGACGTCAGGTAACCATTGGCGTTCTAAAGTAGGGAGCCACCAGCAGGGTTGCATTGATTTAAATCACCTGATTTAAATTAGTGATTAAAATAGCGATTTTAATCAAATTAATATTATATTTTAATCGCATGATTTAAATCGCGATTTTGTAATTTGGTGATTTATAAAAAATATCAGTAAACATTAAATCAAAATGCAACTAATTGAATTTATCTACGCTACTGAAAAATGGGATATTTTAAATTTATCTTCGCAACTGAAACTGACGTCACACCGCCGGACCTTTGGTGAGCAGCGAACATGTGGTAATCAGCTAATCAGCTGTTAACAGGCAGTGGCATTCTTAGCACAGGCCGCACCATACCTTTATCTTTGTCTTTCTTTTGTCCCTAAAAGGGATAGAGATACACTCGTTTGCTGCACCAATTTAATTATACGGAAATGCTATTTGATTTCTGGGAATCCCTCTAATCTTCGTGTGTCGTTTTATCTATTTATTAATAAAAAGTAGACGTTTTTGGTGGGGTTTGATGGAAAGTAAATGACACGCGTAAAAAAAAACTTTATTTCATGAGGGTTTGTACTTACGTCATCATTTGCCTTCTTTTTAAACAAATAATAAATGACCCGAATAAATTAATGACGTCGTAAACATTCGTACAGACATAAAAAAACTTATTTGTTTAGAAAAGAAGGCAAATGATGACGTAAGTACAAACCCTCGGGAAACAAAGTATTTTTCACGTGCGTCATTTACTTTCCATCAAACCCCACCAAAAAAAAAATAGTGCTATAGCACCCCTCAAATTTGGAGCCTAGTTGCGCCAATGATGTCAATGAATTTTGTGTTTAGGGTATTGTTGTATGATAAATAAAATCTAAAATAGATCTAAATAAAGCGTTTTTTATTTAAATCGAAAAAATCTGATTTAAATCAAAAAAATCGGATTTTTTTGATTTATTGGAAAAAAAACAAAAAAATCTGCAACCCTGGCCACCAGCTCACATTCCGTCCTAGTATCAGATCAAAATCAACGGAGAATATACATATTGAGGAAAACCACCTAATTAAAATATTATTTCCTTGAATCTTAACTCTTTAAGAAAACGTTTACTGAATAAAAGTAAATGTTGCAATCATGTAATGCTCTGTGGAATTGATGAGAACGAGAGCGCGCTGCAACAGAATGGTACCGAAGCAAAGAGTAGGTGGGGACAGTGGCGTAGCCAAACCAAACGTAAACGTTTGGCCTATTATAGATCAGAATTTAACCTGGAATGCATATATTAATAGTTATATACTCGGTTATATATAAAAAAAAAGTATTCCAATAAATGCGGCGATTTACAGATGTGAGCAATTCTTTAGTATTAATACAAAATACAAAATATACAATGCATATTATGTTCTGTCCTTCTTCCAATGTGGGGCACCTGTGCTATGACAAATTTTGAATAAATAAAAGTGATCTAGAATAAAATACCTAAAAATCTTTTTACCTTACAATATCGTACTCATACAGAATATCTTTATAGTTTTAAAACTGCCAACGATTCAGCAAATATCGAGGCAAATACTAAAAATTGAACAATCGTTCATCGATTTTAACTGACACTTTCCGTATGAGGAGCGAGCGGGTGAAGTATATGGCAAAAACAGGTGTGACGTCAGGTGACCATTGGCGATCTAACGTAGGGAGCCACCAGCTCAAATTTTTTTGGAGTATCAGATTAAAATCGACGGACATTAAATAGGGTAGTGGACAAGGTATAATTTTAATGAAATCGATTATCTGTTGTTCATCTATGGAGTAAATGAAAAATATTACCATTGAAAGAAATTTCAGAAAAAATTGCTAACTTTGTTTAAAACAATTGTAAAAGTAGAGTTTTGGGACGCACTATTTAAACGAAAATATTTCGCGCCTTGATTCTACGTCATAACTGCTGTATTTGAGTATGAAATGAATCAAACCTCCAAAAATAGGTACTATAGTCGTGAGCATTGAAAGTGGGAGACCCGACTGACAGGTCTTACTAGGGTCTTATCATTTTTCGCTTTTCTGGGTAAATGAGTATTTTCTCTACAATGGATTTTTTGCCAAATATGACAATCCCTGTCATTGCCGTAAATATAGCTGGTGAGTTCGTTTTACAAGAGGAAACATCGGGTGTCCCACCTTCAATGTTCACTACTGTACTCGCTACTGTACAGGGTGGTCCAAATTGGACACTTTCTTATGGAAACACCCTTTATTTTTAGAGATAGAAAAAAATGGACCTCCCACCCTGGGGCTCAAATTTCATGAAATCTTGATTGGTGCAAACCACATTTTGATATCTTCAACCGTTTAGCCGCTAGAGGGCGATTCTCGATTTTGAGCAATACTGTAAAGCCTCCATAACTTTTTTGTTTATGAAAATAATTCATTTCCGTAAAGACCTTTTGGAAGCACTTTTTCAAGCAGAATTCAGTGATGGTCTCAGTTTTTTTCTGTTTGGCTTTCATTTCGAGATATTGACCAAAATCCGATTTTTTTCAATAGGACACCCTATATATTAATAGTTCATTGAAAAGCTCTGCTTTTGCTGATTTCAATGATATAGGGTTCGATAGATTAATCTCTAACGGTTTTCGAGAAAAAAAAAATATTTCGGTTTTTGTCATAAGAAACAATGTGTTAGAAAGAGACCTTTCTCAGTTTCCTTACAGAGATAAAGTCCTTTTCCAACACATTGTTTCTTATGACTATGACAAAAACAGAATTTTTTTTTTTTTTCTCGAAAACTGTTAGAGATAAACCTATCGAACTTTATCTCATTGAAATGAAATCAGCGAAAGCATAGTTTTCTAATGAACTATTAATATTGTATAGGGTGTCCTATTGAAAAAAATCGCATTTTGGTCAATATCTGGAAATCGAAGCCAGACAGAAAAAAACTGAGAACGTCACTGAATTCTGCTAGAAAAAGTGCTTCCAAAAGGTCTGTACGGAAATGAATTATTTTCATAAACAAAAAAGTTATGGAGGCTATACAGTATTGCTCAAAATCGAGAATCGCCCTCTAGCGGCTAAACGGTTGAAGATATCAAAATGCGGTTTGCACCAATCAAGATTTCATGAAATTTGAGCCCCAGAGTGGGAGGTCCATTTTTTTCTATCTTATTTTTTTATTTTATTTTATTTTATTTATTTACGGGAAAACCCCATTAACTTGTAATATACATAGTTTTTACAGTTAGGAACAAATCAAAATAAGCTTTAAAAATATTCTTAAGAAAAAAGAAAACAATAAGTATACTCTCTTATAAACAAGTCCAACAATAAATACATAATGCACTTAAAACTAGGTAACCAAGTGTAAGTATCACATCAGAAAAGCTCTCTTGAGTGCTGGTAACCTTATATTAAATATAGGAACTGTCTAGAGTCCCGAGCGCGGGATCGCTAGAAAAACGCAAAATCCCGAAGAGGCGTGGCTTAATAACGGCGTTCGGGACTTTCCAAAAATATTTCTTATCCCGAATTCGGGACCATGGTAACAAAAGTAAACTCCCGAATTCGTGATAATTGTTTATGTAGTATTTGTTTTTCCTATACATCTAGGTTAGATTAGCCAACTGCTGTGGTTTGGGCAGTTTTGGCTGAAAATTTGTATATCCTTTATT